CAGAAACTGAACAGCAAAAAGTTAAGTAGATATATCAATGGTTTGAGGTTGCTAATACAAGATCAAGTCAGCCTACATTGCCCATATAAGATAAAGGATGCATATCAGCTAGCTCTAAAGGTTGAAGCTCAATTGAGTCGGAGTTCAGGGCGAAGGCTAAGTGCTGTCCAAGGTACACCTTCATCAATAGGTCGAAGTGTTGGGGCTGGTAGGGGTCGTGTGATCAACCAAACACACCCTACAGTCCAAGGGACTTCAAATGCAACAAAGAACAATCAAGGGCAGCCTACTATTAGATGTTTTAGGTGTATGGAATTGGGGCATCGTTCAAATGAATGTCCTAAGAGAAGGATTGAAGGACAAACACATCTGGTTGATGAATTCACTAATGAACAACAAGATGATATAGGCCATGTTGGGGATGGGCAAGTGGCTGAAGCTACTGGAGCTAATGCTTTAGAGGAAGAAAACTTGGATGGGGATATTGAGGGTGAGGCTCCAGTGATACAACACTATGGTTGCACCTCAAGAACCACTACCAGCGGACTGGTTGAGAAAGAATATCTTTAGAACATGTTGTACAACTGGTGGTAAGTTGTGTAACCTGATTATTGACAGTGGGAGTAGTGGGAATCTTGTTTCTTAAGAGATGGTGGATAAATTACAGCTTAAGGCTGTTCAACACCTCTGACCATATCGTATTCTATGGTCCAACAAAGGAAATGAGGTAAGAGTTTCTTCTAAATGCCTAGTTAATTTTTCTATTGGTAATACATTTGAAGAATCGGTATGGTATGATGTTGTCCCAATGGATGCATGCCATATTGTCTTGGGTCACCCATGGCAATATGATCGTAAGACCATTCATCATGGGGGCAAGAACACATACAACTTTGTGAAAGACAATAAGAAGATAACTCTTAAACCAATGCAACTCGATTCATTTCCAAAGAAGGAAACAAAGCCAACCACTACTCTCTTCACCTCAAATAAATTGGCTCAATAAGATGGGAATTTGGATGTTGTTTACGTGTTGGTTACAAAAGAAGTTAGCAAAGACACACCTGTCCCAGAGTTGGTGAAGAAGCTACTTCATGAGTATGCTGATGTGATGCCTGAAGAATTACCCGATGGCCTTCCTCCCCTAAGAGATGTACAACATCATATAGATTTAATGCCGGGAGCAGCATTGCCTAACCTACCCCACTATAGAATGAGTTCTAAGGAGCACGAGGAGCTCCAAAGACAGGTAACAGAGTTGTTGAAGAAGGGGCTGATCCGTGAGAGCTTAAGCCCATGTGCTGTACCAGATTTGCTAACACCAAAGAAAGATGGTAGTTGGCGTATGTGTGTTGACAGTCGTGCCATTAACAAGATTACAGTTAAATACAGGTTTCCCATATCCTGCCTTGATGACATGTTAGATACATTGGCTGGCTCACAAGTCTTTTCAAAGATAGATCTGAAGAGTGGATACCATCAAATTCGTATCTGAGAGGGGGATGAGTGGAAGACTGCATTCAAGACTAAGGAAGGTCTTTATAAATGGCTGGCTATGCCATTTGGGTTGTCTAATGCTCCTAGCACCTTTATGAGGTTCATGAGCCAAGTTTTAAGGCCGTTTATGGGGAAGTTTGTGGTAGTTTATTTTGATGACATACTCATCCACAACAAAGATCATGGCAGCCACTTAGGACACTTGAGAGCAATCCTAGAAGTCTTGAGACAAAATCAGCTATATATAAATTTGAAGAAGTGTAATTTTATGACAGGTCGGTTGGTGTTTTTGGGGTATGTTGTTTCAGCCAAGGGGATTGAGGTGGATCAAGAAAAAGTTCAAGCTATTCAAGAGTGACCAACACCAAAGACCTTAACTGAAATTCGTAGTTTCCATGGGCTAGCAACATTTTATCGTTGGTTTATAAAGAATTTCAGCACTATTGTGGCACCCATTATTGAATGCTTGAAAGAAGGTGAGTTTACTTGGACTCTCGCAGTTGAGAAAAGCTTCCAAGAGCTAAAGATGAGGATGATGAAGGCTCCGGTATTGGCTTTACCTGATTTTAACAAGCTCTTTAAAGTTGAATGTGATGCATCCCATGTTGGGATTGGAGCTGTCCTTAGCCAAGAAGGCCGTCTAGTTGCTTACTTTAGTGAGAAACTCAATGATGCTAGAAGGAGGTATTCCACTTATGATGTTGAGTTTTGTGCCATTATGCAAGCATTGAAGTTTTGGAGGCATTATCTTATCCAATGGGAGTTTGTGTTGTATTCAGACCATGAAGCATTGAAGCACCTTAACTCCCAACAGAAGATAAAGAGAAAACATGCTAAATGAGTTGACTTTCTACAAGAATATAATTTTGTTTTGAAGCATAAGGCTGGACAGCAAAACCGGGTAGTTGATGCTCTTAGTAGGAGAGTTCACTTGGTGTCAACAATGTCTACTAATGTTGTGGGATTCAGCTCCGTCAAAGATCAATACTAAGATGACCCTTATTTTGGCCCTATTTGTAGAAGCTATACACCAGGTGACAAAGATATTCGAGCCAAGTTTGTGTGGAATGATGGTTGCTTATTCATGGGCAATAGGTTATGTATTCCATCAGGATCCTTGAGGGCATTACTCATTGCTGATTTGCATTGCAAGGGACATTTTGGTCGCAAGAAGACACTTAAAATGGTCTCCAAAAGGTACTTTTGGCCAAAGCTACAAAAGGACGTGTTCTATTATGTTGATAGATGTCACAAGTGCCAAACATCTAAGGGGCAACATCAAAATACAAGTTTGTATCTTCCCTTACCCATACCAAAAGCACCATGGACTGATATTACTATGGATTTTGTGTTGGGGTTGCCAAGAACAGCTAAGGGTAATGACTCTATTTTTGTTGTGGTTGATTGTTTCTCTAAAATTACCCACTTTATTGGTTGCCAAAAGACTTCTGATGCTTCTCATGTAGCTAACTTGTTTTTCAAAGAAGTTGTTCGGTTGTATGGATTGCCAAGATCTATCACATCAAATCGTGACACAAGATTCCTTAGCCACTTTTGGAGAACTTTATGAAAGTGTATGAGTGCTACCCTACAATATAGCAGTACATTTCACCCACAAACAGATGGACAAACTGAAGTGGTTAATCGAAGCTTAGGCAACTTGTTGAGGAGCCTAGTTGGAGACTACTTAAAGCAATAGGATCTTATCCTACCACAAGCTGAATTTGCCTTCAATGATTCAGTTAATAGATCTACAGGGAAGACTCCTTTTGAGGTTGTGTACAGTCGGTCACCTAAAAGTGTTGTTGATCTAGCTCCTATAACAGGGTTGTGGCGAGTGAGTGATGATGCTGAAGCTTTAGCTGAATCCATTCGAGAGAGTCAAGAGAATGTACGACAAAAGCTGAAAGAAAGCCAAAGGTATAAAGAAGCTAAGGATAAGCATCGTCGGATGAAAGAGTTTCATGAGGGCGATCTAGTCATGGTTTATTTGTGGCCTGAAAGGTTTCCCGTTGGGACCTACCGTAAGTTGAAGCAGAAAAAGATTGGTCCGTGTCAAGTGCTGAGACGGTTTGGTGACAATGCATATGAAATTTAGCTACCAGCTGATTTGTTCATTTTATCCATTTTTAATGTGGCAGACCTCTTTGATTACCATGGGGATCTAGAACCAGCAACAAAGGATGGGCGAGGACTAGCACAAAGGGCCAGTAGTTCTAATGAGTTTGAACAAGTAGAGGGTGTAGAAGATGTTCGAGTTACCAACACTCGAAATGGGGACTATTTTAGGTTCTTGGTCAAGTGGAAAGGGAAACCATCAATTGAGAACTCTTGGATTAGTGAAGAGGAGTTTATGAAGCTAGATGGAAACATGTGCAAGGCTGCTAAAATTGTTGCTCGCACGGGGTCGAGCTCTTTTTAACCTGGCGGGAATGATGAGGCAAAAAAAAAAAAGAAAAAGAAAAAGAAAAAATGTGTGAATGTATTCTGTTTTGCATGTTTTTTGTAGTGGGATCCAAAATTGTTGTCTTTGGGTAGCTTTGTTGACAGTTTGGACCAGGGGTATTTTCGTCATTTTATAAGTTAGATTTCTGGTCAGAGGCAGTTGGGTGCATTTCTGTTGGGTTTTGGTCTCTTGGGTCTTTTTGTAACAAAAGTTATCTTTTAGGTGTTCATTTGAAGTTAGTTTTGTTCCTAAGGAGTTGGTGAGAGGGAAACATTCTAGGGACTTATGTGTAAATATGTTAACTAGCTTGTCCAGCAAGCCAGTGAGTCTTATAAAAGAGAAGGGGGCTGTTTCTGTAGGGGTCTTATAAAAGAGAAGGGGGCTGTTTCTGTAGGGGTCTTTTTGGTTCTTTCTCTTGTTTGAGCTGTAGCCCAGCCCCAGATAGGGTTTTCAAGTATTAGGAGCTTGGGTTTTGAGGAGTTGACCCATTTTGGCACCTTCCAATCCCTCCATCGCTGTGTGTCCGCACGGGAAGCCAGTTTGCTGCCATTGTTACTGTAGCGGAACTGTTCCAGGAGGAGTTTTACTTCAGGTTCAGGTCTGAAATCCCCAAGGCTATGTTTGGTTTGAAGGAAAATGTAGGGAAACCTTTATTTTGCTGTTTTCAGCTTGGTATTTCTTGTGCTTATTGCTGTATACTTGAGGTACTGCATGTAATTTGTCTTTCTGTCCACATCAAAAACAGTGCCAACTGGAGGAGCGAATTGGTTTTATGGGTTCTTGATTTCTATTCTTTCTACTCTGCTGGAATATTACAAAAGTAGATTTTATGGTTTCTTTGAGGAATTAGATAATAGATGATTTTTCAGATGCATTCTTGACTGAGTTCTTTCAGGTAGCATATTTGATTAGTGCCTTTGTGAAGTTTCTTTAAAGAAGAACATAAAATAAGAACAAGAATTTCTATATTCATTGTCAGTAAAGAAGCCTTTGTTTATTTCATTTTGGAAATCCTGTGTTTATAATGCATGTCTACATCCTCTTATACTTTTTGCAGACAAATAGATTGTCAAAGAATAATCTGATTGGATATTGTGAGATTGATCTGTTTGAAGTTCTCACTCAGGTGCATTGTCTTTTCTACTCAAGAGATGGAGGTTCTTTGCATATATGCTGCAAGTAGAGGAATTGACTTATTTCTGTTGCTCCATGCTTCAAATTTCATGCAGCCAATTAGATTATGTTATTAAATCATCATTTATTAGCATGAAAAAGAGTTTTAACTTTACGAATACCAGTTGCTGCATATGGATGCACAATCTTCTAAATATGTTCTATATGCATGTATTTTTGTTTGTTTTTTGTTATAAACATTGTTAATGTACTAAAACCAGGCATGTCATATTTGTTTCTTTCTTGATATTCTAAGCAGCTTTATTACTAAAATAATTTTTATGGCAACTATTTTTTCACCTTGATCATTGTGTTTCTTTATAGGGCTTGGTACTCGCCCAAGTTTCTGACCTAGAGCATAAAATGTTTGGATTTGGAGGGGATCTAGTTATATCCAGGTCCATTTTTCTAGTACAAATCCTTTACCAGATTCAAGTCCAATCTTAGTTATACCCAATATATGTGATCGGTGTTTGATGCATTTTGATACCAGACTCAAATTTTGATCAGGTTGGATTGACAAAAGAACATATATACAACGTATGGAATTGGAGCTGGCATGTATTTAATGGGACCATATTGGTGACCCATGTTTGACCCATTTTAGGATTGAGATTCTTTTCAATGATCCAAACCTGGTAAATATTTTTTTTGTTGAGAAAAAACAAATGTTATGTGAATCCCACTTTATGGTTGCGAGTCCCAAGGTGCAAAAATGCTAGATGTGTAGAATCGCACTGATGCTGCATAGACATAATTGCAGTTGGGGTGATGAAACAAACTCGCAGTTGTGTTGCAAGCCCCAGAAAACACTGCCAAAACTGCAGTCAAGCCAAAAGAGTGGAATTGCAGAGTGCTTTTGAATGACAGCTTAATAGTAAATAGAAAAGTGGGTCTGCCAGAGTGAACCCATGTAACTTCAGACTCAAAGGCTAGAATACCAGCAAGATACAAAGGCACCCAAGAGTCAAAAAACAGAGATACTGAATATGCACAAAATAGGGTAGAAAAGCAATCACGATACGAACACACAGTGACTTATGTGGTTCAGCCTTTGGCTTACATCCACGGGCGATGGAAAAGCAGATAATCCAATACATAAACAAATGATGGAGATACAAAGATGAGTAGCTTTCCTCACACACATAAACTCTCATTCTCACAAGGCCTCACAGAAAATCCTTGTTGCAATATACGCCCAGACTTTCAACTTGAACTCAACCACTCCCACACTCTGACCTAATCTTTTCTTTACACATAAACAGCTGATAGCACAATATACAAGTGGGTATTTATAAGAGCAGGAAAAGACCCCTCAGAAACATAACATATTGGGTTGGATACTTAAGCTGAAAATGGATTGGGTGTGTGACAGCCCAAGCCCTCCACATCCACCACTGACCTTAATGAAATTTTCCTTTTTTAATGTTCTCCTCAAATGCAGGTCGGAACATGGAGCAGGCCGCAACAAAGAACTCAAGGCACACAACCTAACAGTAAACTATAATTTCATCAAACAAAATCAACACCCATGTACAACAAGAGACTGTACATTGAGAATGTACAAAAAACCACTATACATCCAAACCTGGTAAATGTGTGGGTTCTAGGTTTAGATCAGAGCAGGTCCTGGAACTGATCCATTTGATTGCATTCCCTACTCTAACCCTTTTAATTATATGATAAATAAACTACATCTTTAATAGACAAAAAAAGTTAGAGAAAAGAAAAGAAAGGGAAGTGCTTTTCTTTCATGTCCCCATTTCTTTAAAATATCACTTCTGAAACTAATTCAAAGACTTCCTAAGTTCTTATTTTGTAAAAGTAATTCCTACCAAAATAAATCCTAAACCTAATAAAACTTTAACTCTAAAGTCAAATTACCCCAAAATAGATTCCCATCATAGAACCATATACATTGTATACTTTAGTTATAACTTGCTAAATTCATGTTCTGTAGAGATAATGGGCCGAATGGGCCTTAGTTTCTTTTTTTTTTCTTTAAGTTATGCTTATGACTTGTGTTAGTAGGTAGTGGGCCTTAGTTAGGGCCTGTTTTCTCTTTTTTTTTTTATTGCTGTCTTTAGTGATGGGTGCCCTTCTAAGGGCACTCATGTAATTGTCCTTATTTTTTACAACAAAAGAATAAAAGAGATCATTAGGGGTTGAAAAAAGGTTTTGAACTACTCTCTCTTCTTCTTCCTTTTCTTCCATCTTCTTCCTCCATCATTTCTCTCTCTTCAATCTCCTTCTTTTCTCCTGTTTCTTTTCTTTTTAATTCAGATTATTGTAGGTGTGATTTACAACTTGGTATCAGAGCAGGTTCTCACCTTCTTTTCTTTCTTTTCTCTTTGCCCATACACAACGTGTATGGAGAATTGATTGGCTGATTAGGGAGCAGCTTATGTAGCCCAGTTGAGAAGGTTTTTAGAGAGGTGTTGTGAAGTTTTTCATCCCCAGTTGAAGCCCAAGATAGGTTTTTGGAGTTTTTCCCAAAATCCCTGGACAACTAGAGAAAACTAGTTACAGGTCTTAGAGACGCTCTAAAGGTGGCGCTTGGGGATCAAAGGGTAGCCTTTTGATTTTCATTAAGGATGATTTGATTTGGATAGGGTTCTGGAACCTCTGGTAGGAGTAGTTGAACTTTCTCCTCTTCTCCCATTCGGGTGGGTCTTGTGAAACTCTAGATTTGGTTGTTTGAAGAGTAGTTTTTTTCTTGGGATAGCAATTCTAGCATAGTTGAGACTTATTTTGATCTCTGTTTCACTCAATGGAGAAAACTAGAGGAGAAACCACATATCCCATAGATTCCGGGCTTGGACATGGGGGGTCAATGGAGAATCTTTTTGGGGCAGTGACCACTATGAAGCTGGATGGGACCAATTATTTAGCCTGGTCTCAGTCAATTAAGATACATGTGTGTAGAGGGAAATGGGGTTACATCACCGGGAGCAAGAAGAAACTGGGGGAGGGTGACCCTACCTATGATAGGTGGATGCAAGAGAATTACATAGTAATGGGTTGGTTAATGAATTCTATGAAGCCACATATTAGCTAGCACTACTTATGGATGGAAACTGCAAAGGAGGTGTGGGATAGTGTCATAGAGACCTATTCCCAAAAATTGAATGTTGCTTGGGCTTACAAATTGAAGAATGATGTGAATAATCTAAGATAGGGGGAGAAGCCCTTAGCCGTTTACTTCTCCATGCTAAAATCTCTTTGGTAGGATATTGATTTGATGGAGATTGTGGTTTGGGGGTGTACAAAGGATGCTGAAACACATAGGAAGTTGGTGGAAAGGATCGACATGTTGTTGAAGTAGCAAGGAGCATTTTTTTTTGCCTTCCATGTTCTAGTAAAATTTTGGGGTGATGTAGTGATGACGGTTACCTACCTTATTAACCAATGCCTTCTCAAGTCTTGGGGTTCAAATCTCCCATTGCTATCTTATTTCCTGAAAGTGAATTGCTTCCTACTCCCTTGTGTGTCTTTGGGTGCACGTGTTATGTTCATTCCCTAGCTCTGAGAGACAAAAGTTTGAACCCAAGGCCCGAAAGTGCATTTTCTTAGGGTAGCCTCCACATAAAAGGGCTATTGTTGTTTTGATCCCACTAGTGAAGTTTGTTTTATCTCTATGGATGTTACCTTTGCAGTGCCACTTCTATTTTATGGTCATTATTTTGAGGGGGAGCATTCCGTTGAACTGTTTTCTTCACCACTTCCTCTACCTTCTCCTGTTAATCTTGAGGTTGAGTCTTCTGCAGCTCCTTCTGTTCCACTGGCAGAGCTTTCGTCTCCCAGTTCTACCATTCCTACTACTCCTCCTCCTACTAGTCTTCCAGTTTTCATTACTCATCTTATTGTTCGGAGGTGGTACCAACGACAAAAGGCTACGACATGATTAGGTTGTTCCCTCATCTACAGTTGAGCTTCAGACACTCTCAACCCCTGAAGAGAGGACAAGTCCTTCACCGCCTGCTCCAGAACCTCCCTTCCCAGACTTGGACCTACCTATTGCTGTGAGAAAAGGTAAGAAGAAATGTACAACACATTGTATTTCCAAACACTTGTCGTACAACATCTTATCCCCATCTTATTATTCTTTCTTAGCCTCTATTTCTTCTCAGCCTATACCCCAAGTCAGTTACAGAGGCCTTGTCTAAGCCAAAATGGAGGGAGGCTATGTGAACTGGAATAGAAGCACTTCGTAAAAATCATACTTGGGATATTGTGGATTTGTCTCATGGGAAGGAGTTAATGGGATGTAAATGGGCGTTCACTATCAAGTATCATTTTGATGGCACCATTGAGAGGTATAAGGCTTGGCTAGCAGCCAAGGGTTATACTTAGGTATATGGAGACTTGGTAATGAGTTATAATTGGCCCTTATATCTATTTGATGTCAAGAATATATATAATAAAGGGAAAGGGGTGGTCTCCCTTTTCGCCAAATGGCAGTAGATTTCCCTTTAACATATATATATATACATATATATATATATATTCTTTATTGAAAATTCTCAAATTACAAGAAACAAACATACAAAATCTTATGTATCTTATATGCCACTGGTTTTCGGGTCGACTGTTCGACCATCTAGTTCGAATGGATGGCCTGTTCTGACAACAAAAATTACAGAACCATTCTGGCCACCGGTTTTCGGGTCGATGGTTCGATCGTCCGATTTGAATGGACGACCTGTTCTGACAACAAAAATTACAGGCAAAAAATTGAGTGTGTGAGGTCCATTAAGCAGTATCATACGTGTTGTCATTCAAGCGTGCGACTCATACGACCCGAAAACGGAACCATTCTGGCTATTGGTTTTCGGGTCGATGGTTTGACCATCTGGTTCAAACGGACAGCCCGTTCTGACAACAAAAATAAAAAAATAAAAAAAAGGCCAAAAACCATTGAACGGGTCAACGGGTCGACAGTTTGACCGCTCGGGTCAATGGGTTGTTGACCGATTCAACGGTTTTTGGCCAAGGACAGAGATTGGGGTAAAACGGAATCGGTTGCCTAGACGGTTCCTAATTAAAAAAATAAAAAACGGTGGTTCGACCGTCCGATTCGAACAGATGGCCCGTTTTGACAACAAAAATTACAGGCAAAAAATTGAGTGTGTGAGATCTATTAAGTAGTATCATACGTGTTATGTCACTCGAGTGTGATTCATATGACCCGAAAATGGAACTGTTCTGGCCACCGGTTTTCAAGTCGACGGTTTGACTGTCTGGTTTGAACCAACGGCCCATTCTAACAACAAAAATAAAAAAAATAAAAAAATGGCCAAAAACCATTGAATGGGTCAACAGGTCGATGGTTCGACCGCCTGGGTCAATGGGTCGTTGACCGATTCAATGGTTTTTGGCTAAGGACCAGGATTGGGATAAAACGGAACCGCTTGCCTGGACGGTTCCCAATTAAAAAAATTAAAAAATGGCCAAAAACCATTGAACGGGTCTATGGGCCGATGGTTTGACCGCCCGGGTCAATGGGTCATTGATTGATTCAACGGTTTTTGGCCAGGGATCGAGATTGGGGTAAAACAGAACCAGCTGCCTGGACGGTTCCCAGGCCGAAATGTTCGTCCGTCTAGGTCAACGGCGGTTCGAAAACCATGGTTTTTTATGCTTTTGGATTTTCACTATTTAAAGGTTTCTTCTACTGTGGGTTTTATTCGAGCATGTGCGGTATGTTCCTTTTTTTCATTTTCTGCTTTTGTTTTGTTTTGTTTTTTTTTTTAGTTTTTTTGTGTTTGGTCTTCTTCAAGATCCTCCAAAGCGGTCTAGGTTTTACCACCATTTTATTTCTTCCCTTTTGTTTTTTCTTTGTGTTTTCTTGTGCATTTTTTTTTTATTTTCCTACAAGATGATCTGCTTTGTCTCTTTCTTTAATTGCATGTATGTTTAGCTCCGCCTCAAAGCGGAACTTTGGACTCGATTTTCTGATTTTTTTCCTTGGTTTTTCCAATTTTGTGGATTTACCGCCTATTTTTTTCTGTGTTTAAGGTCACTTTGGGTTTATCTTTCAAGGTTTTGAAATCCCTTGCAATGTCCACCCTTCCCATGACTATGACTACAAAGTTATTTCATCTAATTATTGACATCTAGAAAAAATGACCCGAAAACAAAACCGTTTTAGCCACTGGTTTCTAGGTTGACGATTCGACCGTCTAGTTCGAATGGATGGCCCGTTCTGACAAAAAAAATTAAAAAATAAAAAATGGCCAAAAACTATTGAATGGGTCGACGGTTTGACGACTTGGGTCAATGGATCGTTGACTGATTCAATGATTTTTGGCTAGGGACCGGGTTTGGGGTAAAAATGGAACTGGTTGCTTGGACGGTTCCTGGGATAAACGGTCCTACAGTCCGGGTCAATTGGGAGTTCTCAATGTGAAACAAAGGACAGCTATGAAGTAGAACTCATAACTATCACTGTATGATCGCATTCTTTTATATGAGATGCTTTGCTGAATCAATATTTAAAAAATGAGCACATGATTATCTCTTTTAAGTCTTTATATGAGTTTCAAGACTTGAGTACTTATATTTTTAATGTAACAAATAGTAATGTTACAATTCTAATCCAGCCCCTGCGAAGCAGGGGCCCCTATGCCAGTGCTTTCTTAAATGGAGACTTGATGAAGAGGTTTATATGCCACTTCCACCGGGTATGTATGGTAAGGAAACACAAGGCAAGGTATGCAAGTTAAAGAAATCACTTTATGGCCTCAAGCAATCCCCACAAGCTTGGTTGGATAGATATTGAGCTACACTTGTTGAGTTTGTTTATATACAGACACAATCTAACCATACCTTGTTTGTGAAGCAGAGAGGCACTTAGATTACCTTCCTTATTGTTTATGTTGATGATATTGTCATTACAAGGAGTGATATAGAGGAAGTTTAGGCACTCAAGACATTCCTTAACTCAGAATTTGAAATGAAGGATTTAGGGGAATTGAGATATTTCCTGGGAATCGAAGTTGCTAGGTCTAAAGATGGCATCTTCATATCCCAATGGAAGTATGTGTTAGATCTTCTCACGGAGACTGGGAAACTTGGTGCCAAACCTATTTCTACACCTATTGATGCTAACTATAAACTCTTAGCTGATGATGGTGAGCTTTTGGAAGACAGGGGGGGGGGTATTCCAAAGATTTTTGGAGAAGTTGCTATACCTTTGCATGACACAACCAGATATCTCATATGTTGTTAGTGTGATAAGTCGGTCTATGCATGCTCCTAGAGATACAAATATAGCTGTTGTAGAACGAGTTCTATGTTACTTGAAGGGAACTTTAGGAAAGGGTATCCTCTTCTCTAGGCATGGACCACATGGAGTTAGAGGCTTACATAGATGTTGATTAGGCTGGTAGTATTGATGATAGGAGATCTACATCGGGTTACTGTGCCTTGGTTGTAGGGAACATTGCCTCCTGGAAGAGTAAGAAACAGTCAGTAGTAGCCAGGTCTTCGGCTGAGGCAGAGTACAGGCCAATGGCACATGGAGTTTCAAAGTTGCTATGGCTTAGGTCACTTCTAGAGGAGATGGGTATTGCACATGATAAGCCCTTAATACTTTACTGTGATAATCGGGCTGTGATCAACATAGCTCACAACCTAATTCAGCTTGACAGGACAAAGCATATTGAAGTTGACTGTCATTTTATAAGATAAAGGGTAGCTTCCAGAAAAGTTTGCCTTCCTTTTTTTGCCTCAGAGCAACAGTTAGCAGATGTTCTGATCAAGGGTGTTCCCAAGGCAAAGTTGATATCTATGCTCAGCTTGAGGGGTAGTGTAGAGACAATGGGCCGGATGGGTCTTAGTTTCTTTGTTTTTCTTTAAGTTACGTTTATGACTTGTGTTAGTGGGTAATGGGCCTGTTTTCTCTTTTCTTATTGTTTTTTATTGCTGTCTTTAGTGATGGACGCCCTACTAAGGGCACTCATGTAATTGTGCTTAGTTTTTACAACAAAAGAATAAAAGAGATCTTTGGGGGCTGAAGAGAGGTTTTGAACTACTCTCTCTTCTTCTTCCTCCATCACTTCTTTATTCAATCTCCTCCTTTTCTCTTGTTTCTTTTCTTTTAATTCAGATTATTGTAGGTGTGATTTACATCTTGTCCAAAGGCCTAAGTGCCTGATCTTGGGTTTGTAAGTTGATGTATAATCTTCCTATGAAACCAACTCAAACCTCATGGGAAAGTTTTTCTCCTTAAAATAAGGTCACAAGCAAGGTGGCCAAATTGCATTTGTTGTTTTTCTTCTTTCTTTTCTGGGAATGGTGTTTATTAGTCCCCGGTTATTTTTCTTGATTATCCTTTCCTTGCTCCATTCAGGATTCAGACTCTGACATTGAGGTACTCAGCCTGTTAGATCCATCATCATCTAACACAATTGTGGGGAAAATTTCTATTTCATGCTCTGTTGAGGTCAGCTGTGTAGTCTTGATCTCGTATCTATCATTGGATTGTTCAAAGTTTAATGAATCTTTCATTTTCTTGATAATATTGACAATAACAGTTTGAAATATTTTCAGGACCCAATTGAAACTGAAAAAGGGTTTGCAAGACGCATTTTATCTATAGTGGTAAATTTCACTTTATCTTCCATAATACATCATTTGTCAGCTTTCAGGTTTTTAATCTTTATAGGACCACATTAACGTACTGGTATATTAGATGGTCATTGAGAATATGGATTATAGACTAAAAACATCACTCTTGATGACCCTATCTCTGCCAATGCATTTGACCTCAAGATAGTTGACATTGTAATCCTCAACCAGATATTCACTCAGGAAGCCAAAGGTTTAGCCTCTTGAGTGGAATGCCTTAGGTTACATGAACCAAACCGTTGAAGCCATCTAGCATAAATCTTATATCTACCCAGGTATCTCTCTTCACCTCATCCACCCTTAACTCAAAGAGAAAATTAGTCCTTATAGTAATAGTAATGCCAAAATTTCTGCTCTAAAAGGGTTACCATGAACAATTGGGTCAAAAAAACTAGCAGAATCTCCCTTTTATTCCTCTAATAGAGTAACAGGTTTTCCAAACCCTGATCATATTAGGGTCATTAATGATGATCCATAAAAATTGACCTTAAGGAGTTTATCTCCTTTTAGAGGAGACTACACCTGCTCCTACCACTGTCTTTGGGTTCAAGTAGCTCATCATAATCTGCCACTATCAGTTATAACAAGATCAATCACCATATGTGCTGCCAGGGTTTGAAGAAATCTATTAGTCAAGATCACAGCATTCCTATCTTCTTATATTCTCCAACATATGGTTGCAAGAATGATCCTACACATTATCACAGCAGCATGAGACTGGTCTCAAATAAACCAATGAGGTCAGTAGGTGGTTGCCATTGGGTACCAAAGACAGGCATAACATGATATGAGATTTCAGTGTTTAAACAGCAGTTTGTGCGGAGATGATCTGCCAATTTACCACTTCCCTTGCTTAAGATACAAGTATGAGGACATTTTTTTTGAGAATGGTATAGTATAATTTTAACCTTTAGAGTGAAAAAGAATGCAAGACCAACTTGCTAACAGTTCTACCACATCCTGTGGGTAACCCTGGATGATAAAATATTAATTTCCAAATATTTCATACACTTTTGAATGATAACAAGGTGATTAAAATTTTCTTCTCTTCTGGCTTTTCCATTGACCACTACACCTTTATTTGTCTTTTATATTATAGGATTATAATGAAGATGGCCAGCTCTCCTTCTCTGAGTTCTCTGACTTGATTAATGCATTTGGGAATCAAGTGGCAGCAACCAAGGTTTACTGACTGTTCTTTTTTATATATGCATGAAAAATTATTTTGCATCTGTAGCACACCAATTTCACTGAGCTTAAATTATCTTTCTATCTGTTAAAAATATGAATTTGCTAACTTTTGAAGTCCATTTACATTGCTTATTAGAAAGAGGATCTTTTTAGAGAAGCTGACAAGAATGGTGATGGTGTTGTTAGCATGGATGAGTTGGCGACCCTTCTTGCTATTCAACAAGAAAAGTAATGGCCGTTCTGTAGTTTTGTATTAGATCATTTACCGGGCAGTAATAGTCATAAACTTCATAAAATTTGAAGGCACAGATGAGTCATAGCTTAATTAATTTAGGTGCCATGGATGAGTTATAAACTTGATTAGATAATCGTTGTCTATGTGTACTTTTGCTATAAGATTATTTCATTTGTAATGTGTCTATAATATTGTCATCTCATATTGTTATTATTGTATGTTCAATGGATATGACTGAAGTATTCTGTTTGGCTTCCAGCCTGACAGAACACTCCTCATCTGTCCATTTGGGACCTTTGATATGAATTCCTTAGGGTGTTTGATCTGCAGACTGCAGGTTTCTAGTTCAGGCTATGGATTCCTTTTCTTCTAGGCTGCTTTTATTTCTTTAATCATTCATGTGATAGTATTATCCTTATTTTTGGTTCTATGCTCTAATATTACAGGGAATCAATTATCAGTAGCTGTCCTGTTTGTGGCGAGATTCTTGACAATTCTGACATGCTCAACAATATGATTCATTTGACTTTATGTTTTGATGAGGGGACTGGGAATCAGGTCATGACTGGAGGATTCTTAACTGATAAACAGGCTTCATATGGGTAAGCAGTATATGAATATTGCAGTGTATATGATATTCACAACAACAATTCATTCCTTGTATACAGATGATTAATATTTTTTTGTGGTAATCTTTCTATTCACATTCCAAGTGAGGTGAAACTCAGATCTATTTATCCTCTTTAGGTGGATGTTCAAACTAAGTGAATGGGTCCATTTTTCATCATATGACGTAGGTCTAAACTCTGGATCAAGTGCTTCACATATTTTGGTAAGCATCCACATCTTTTACAATGGGATTAGGATGTAAACTTGTCCAAAATGGAAATTCTATTGCTACATTTTGTGAAATCCTTTTCAAAATCGAAAAATATCTTTTCTGAGGTCCCATGTTTTATGTTCTTTAATTTCAAGAATGCAAAAAATATCATTTGTAGTATTCCTTTTTTGAACACCTTGAAACATCATATTGGAAGGCAAGATAGTGGTGTGACTCTGTGAGGTGTTTAGTCAAGGGTATTATGGTCTATGAGTGTTATTTTTTCTAATGGAGGGTACTATCGTTAAATTATATAGATTAGTATAAATTCTAATAGAAAAGGGACCACACCCTAATCTTGCTTTCCTCTCTAATTTTTTCTTGTCTTTTTTATCAATAAGAGTCAAGTTTTATTAATATAAAGAAATGAACTGCATATATGTACAAGTTCTCATTTTAGAGATAAGGAGTCTTATCTCTAACCTTTGAGCTTCCTTTTAATTTTCTTACAACTGTTCCAAATATTTGTTCCCTCTCCAGTCTCTACCCCTTGCTATGCTAAAGCATCCCCCAGGCTATTGGCTACCCTTGGAATCCAAAGAAACCTCACCTCCATATGTCTAGTCAGCCACCTGAGTGACGGGATCTGCTCCTCACATAGGGGCACCTCACAGACACATCCACCGTGCATTGGGAACATCTCCTGTGAATAGTAACTTACAAGTACGGGAGATGTTCCCAATGCATGGTAGAATGTGCGTGTGAGGTCGGTGTGAAGAGCCCTGTGTGGGGAACAGATCCGGTCTTGCCACCTGAACTTTTTAATTTCATTACTATAACACCACAAAGCAGCCTACTTTGTTTGCATCTAACATACCACCAATAGCCCTCTGCCCTCCTATTAGAGCTAACTTCAGCCCTTAGGGAAGAAACTAATGTAGTTTGCTAGAACTTTTAATTTCGTGGATAGAAACCTCCAAAATCTCACTGTAATCTCAAGTTGTACTCTAATTTCTTCTCCCAACATCCCAAGAATAAGGCTTCTCTATTCTACACTGGTTCAATCCTAAAGGAAAATGCACACATGCACACACACTCACACACATATATAATATGTAAGCATATTTGGTACATTAAATCAAAGTTTTAAAGCACAAAGGTAAGGGTGAGGCTGTTGAATCTGGAGAGGCAAGGCATTTTACTGCAAGCCTCAAACAAATTTCAAAAAATTATAAATATAGTAGAAAGCCTTATGTGCTGATTCGGCCAAGCTTCTTGTGAAAGGAAGAGGAGAAAGTTGGGGGGGTTTTAGCAATAGACAGAGGAAAGGGAAGAAAAGGAGAAGGTCGACTAGGATAGTGATTCATAACCCTAGCTGCCAGCCCCTCATTCTATTTATAATTAACTTAAATATGGGATATTACAAAGATGCCCCTA